CGTCACTCCCGGAAGGACGATTAGCGGCGTGCAATCGCGAGTCGAGGTGTCGATTTAGGTACAAGGTGATCGTACAAGGACTTGGAGCGCGCCAACGAACCTCGCTCAGGGATACCTCGACGCTTTCTTGCGCCAATTTCGTTCGTCCCTTTTTTCCCTCTCTCTCTCTCTCTCTCTCTTGTTCCTCGTGGAATTGCGAACGAAGTTTCGTTCCGATTTTTCACCCATCCCTTGTCGAAGATCTCGATATCGAACCCCATCTATCGATAAAATCGCGATTTTTCCTCCTCCTCTTTCCACTAATTCCGACGAAGCGACTCCGCGTAACCGACCCGCGGCGTGGAACGTATTAACCTCTCTCCTCCACCGAGGAAGAGAAGCCCTGGGGCGAGGTAAGGGTGGAATTTAACGAGTCCTCGAATCAAAGGGAATTATTTCCGTTGATCTAAAGCGTCGTTACGTCGGCATGGAAAATCGCCTCGGGGGTTAGATTACTGGAGGGTGGAAAGGGGTGGAGGAGAAAGGATGTAAGAGAGAGAGAGAGAGAGAGAGAATATCGATAGACGAGGCGCGCAATAAGCGCGAAGGAGGATGATGGCCTTACGACTTATTCGTACGGGTACGTGGCGCCACCCACAGGGTCGGGCTCTGTGATGGGTGTGACTCGTGTTGGTATTCGCGATGCATATTGCTACGTGGCGCGGTAACGCGGAGAATACGAGAACCGCCTTCCCGCGAAAGATAGTAGTGGTGTTTGACCGGGGGCTACGCGTCCGTCTAACCGGTGGCTCGTAAATGCGCGCACGCGGTCGTGATTAGACCGGGAGACAATGGCCCGTAGCACGCGTCCTCGCATTGTGCGTTTTTTAAACGCGTCCACTCCGATGCCGTTTATTTGCATACCGGCATAAGTTGGGAGCCCCGTGGTCGTGGTCGGGAACACTCGGTAACAGTAATCGTTTGAAACGGGCTGTCGCGTACCATCTGCCGCGGCGACAACGTTTCTAAACCCGTGCTTGTTGTACGTACGTAGCGGAGGCCCCGTGAATGTCTCGCGTTAAATCCTTGTTGCCTGAGAAATCGCGATTTGATGGTGAATGCCTGGCCTGTCGTCGAGGTAGCAGTAAAACTGTGGCTTCTTCTTCTTCTTCTTCTTCCTCTTTTTCTTCTTCTTCTTCTTCTTCTTCTTCTTCCTCCTCTTCCTCTTCTTCTTCTTCTTCTCGTGAAAGGCGGCATCGAGGCCAGCCGTGCGTGGAATATGCTCGCGCCCGATACACCTGTGTACACCGAGCGGCCAAGATTCCGGTATCTCGAGTTTAGAGATTTGAGAGGAGGGATAGGAAAGAAAGAAAACTCGTTTCGGTCGATCGATCGATTCGATCCGCTTCTCATTAACGATTCTTTCGTTCCGTTTCGTTATTTGTCCGTAAGGGGTCAATGGTGGTCGTGGCCGGTATATTTACCTTGTCGCAACCACGGTGTTGGATCGGGTACAGTTCAATTCCGTTACGTGGACGTAGCCGCGGGCTTCCCACGCCAATTAAACATGACTCATTAACGGGCAGAAGCCGGTAGCCGAGGATCGATGGCTGGGCCGAGGCCAACCCTTCTATGACTCGGCGCGGCCACACGGCCAATCGGAACTAATCTCGACGGAACTATCCGCTCTATCCTCTGCCGGCCGTTCGCTAAACTCGATCCTCGTCGCATAAACGTTTCTTCGCGTTTTCGTAATCGCGATCCTTTCCCTTCCTCGTCCGAGATTTCAATCAAGCAACCAACCAACGAACGAACGAAGTTGGGACGTTTTTAATTTTACTTTCTATCCCGTGGCGAAATTTCGCGCGATAAAGGTTTCGCGCCGGGGTCAAGTATCCGGGATTTTTCCACGAAAAGCCCGGAGATTCGCAGATAGCNCGCTCACCTTTGCGCTCCGAGGAATTTCTGTCAACGGGAAGAAAATAACGGTACGTAAAACTAGTAACAATACCCGTCCCCCTTGCGGCTGCCGTGCCGTGCACGTATTATGCGAGCATTAACCGTTCAACGATGCCGTGGTCTTCTGCCCAAGTCTACGAGAACATCGCTGTCGAACGGGGCCCTCTAACCACGGACACGAGTCGAAGGGGCGGAAGGGGGTGAATTATTGCCCCAAGATTTCGCGATCGCTTCCGATAGTCGTGGATTCCACATGGCGGGTACAGCCGTGGTCGCCTCGTCGCCTCGTGCCCCTGGTAGCCGTGGAATCTTTCGTCGTTTGATTGCTCGTCGGATTTTCCTTGCCCGATCCCAGCCGGACGATAGGGGATACGCTCGTTAGAGATACGTTGATGCTCGAATATATTGCCGGATTCGAGTGATTTAACGACTGTACACGGGTATAGGTCCGATAAAACCGACGCGTGGCCATGTTCCCAAGTGAAACAACCTTTGTACCCTCTTCTACGCGCTACTAGACGCTCTGCGTTAGGATGTCGTGGGATTTTTGGCCGAGCTTCTCGAACACGGGATCCCTCGAGCGTTAATCGAGATTCGTCTTAATCCTTAAGATGGAGATATTACACAAGTGGGAGGGATGATTCCGAAGGAAATCTAATTCTGATCACGCGTAACAGCGTCGAAGTTGGAATTTAACGGAAATATGGAAACTGGGACAGAGGTAGGAGATAGACGTTCACAGCGTCGACGTCACGATTTATCACCACGGTCCACGATCGCTCGATGATTTCACGATTCTCTTCCAACACGCTCTCTACCTACTCTCGTCTCGTCGATTTCTAATTTCTATCGAATCCGGGTAAACGGATAAAAGCGCCCACGCCACGGATCCCTCGCACGTATCGAGTCGAATTGTTATTCCTTCGAACTTTATCGCATCCTCGATCGATAATCCGTCACCGCGGCCGAACGGAATAACTCCGTTTCCGTAATTAGAAGCGAAAACGAAGCGATGCGTATCGATCGAACGTATCTCCACGGATCTCCGGTATGGAACGTCGTGGATCGTTGGGAACGTGGGCTGGGCCGGGCTACCTCCCAGTCAAGTGGACACTCCCGGATCTCGAGGCTTCTCTCCGAAGAAGGTGTCGTCACCGGTCGCTCCTCTCCGTGCTCTTCTCCGAATTACGTAACCTCGAGCGTACGTACGTGCGCGCGTTCGCCTTGCTAGTCGCTCTCGCAACAACCGTACCCACCGCTCTTCAAAATCCACACCTTCCTTTCCTTTCCTCTCGCCTATTTCATACGCTCTCTTCCCTCCTCTCTTCTCTTTACCTCCATCCATAAATCGAAATCGTCCACTCCGTCCACGATATCCCAGGGTTGTTCGGCGAGGATGAAAAGGAGGAAGAAGATTCTCTCTTCGTTGGAGAAGAGATTGGAGAAACGCGTGTACCGCACCTTCGTCACGAATAACGTATAAACGAAGCTACGTACGTCGTTGCGTTCTCTAAATCGACGGACGTCGGTGCATTTACGTCGCAGGCGAGCCGTGCATCTGCCGGCCATTCAGGCCTTTGTCTCCCGCTAACGTGGGCGTTGCGGAATATCTATTGTCGGCGCGGCCGCCGTCCCTGCGCGCGCGCCTTCGAAAGCGTTCGCATGATGCTCGCGATGCATCATCCAGCAGCTCCGAACGAGGTCCACGCTCGATAACGGGAAGGGTAATATGTTGGACGGACGTGCGAAACGTGGAACTGCCATTTAAACTGCCGTTTCCAATTCTAATCGGAAGGATCCCGTCCATTGCCCCTTCGCGTCCACGAGGATCTTGCGATTCGACGGATCGAAGAAGAGATCAACGCGACTCTTTTCTCCAATATATTTTTCGAATGTACGCCAAGTATATCGTATTCTTCATCGAAACAGAGAGAATCTTTCGAGAGAGAAACTTGTTGATTTCGGGAGGAACGTGCGTCACGAAAAATATTTTGGAATTCGATGGAGGTCTAATATACGTTTTTTTTTAGAGGCCTCCACGTTTTCGCCAATGGCATTTTAATCGATGTCGAAGTCGAACAGCTGGAGATCCCGGGAGAAGGAGGGGGGAGGGGGCCCTCTCTCCCCTCGGTGTGTCGCCACTTCCCCCTGGTGCTCTTCGACTCGTCGCTGCGAGTTTTACGAATTTACATGTCGACCATCGTTTGCAGCAACGAGCCCGCGAGGTGTGGCCATACACCGATGCTATACACGCGCTCCTCTGTCTGCCCGTGCGTCTGTGTACGCGGGGCACGGCTACGTACGTCCGGTTTCAGAATACTCGCGTAGCCTTTTTCTTCTCCCTTTTTCTTTTCTCTATTTTTTTTCTTTTTTTGCAGTTTAGAAGAATTGTTGACTAAATATACGAGTTTAGCCGAATGAATGTATTTGATTGCACGTGATTGCGCGTATCTGTTTACA